TATTACTGTATTTTAATGAAACATCCGTTCTCATAAATGTAAAAGGTAACATAATTGTAAAGGATAAATTTTCATTATATTTTATAAATTTTTTGCTTTATTCCATTTCTGTTAAAGGTCCATTCTGATAAATATAAAAGATAACAGAACTGAGAATGATATAAATTTTTCATTATATTTTATCAGTTTATTACTATAATTTATTTCTCTGAAGAATCCTTTCTAATAAAATGCAAAAGCAACAAAATTATGGAGGAAACATTTTCACTATATTTTACTAATTTTTAACTATACTTTATTTCTCTTCCCTTTGTCTTTAAGAAGTGCAAGACTACGTCGGTCGTTGGCATGATCGCTGAGTACCACACAGCTAACAGTGCGACATTTGGCCATTTCAGCCCCAGTTTTTAATGAGACCTCCCAGGAGAATGAGTCCGAGAGTCTCTTCCTGTTCCTCAACACCCAAACCACTCGAAGGAACTTACGACTCTCCGTATATTTTGAGTATCCCATATCGCACATACACTATACATTTACAAACTAACATGCCTTCTGTGGAATTCGAACCCGGGACTTTAGGTAGTGTAATCAGTGTCACTGTACGCCCTGCCATCTGGGCTCCCCAAAAAACTGCAATGTTGTTTCATTCCAACCACAGTACACTCCTTTTTATAAGGCGAACACTCGTCATGACATTTAGTCATAAAATTTACTTTCGCAGCAGGAGACGTGAGAAATGGGGAAATGCCATCACCAGGATTCGAAATCTAGGCCTTCCGATTTCTAGCCGAACGTACTCTCCAATTACACTAAGAACACACGCTGTTAAAAAATAGGAAGAAAATATTTTTCACATTACAGTTGAATAATCACTATCACAGTTAACACGACGAAAGCAGAACATGATGAAAGTTGCCAAGGTCAGTGGCTTTTCTTCTTAATATTGACCAAAGGATTTTGGGACGTCACCACTTATGACGTAACATGTTCTCCCTTTGAACCCTTTAGGTTCAAGAAAATAAAGGAAAACCGTTAATCTGATTAGTCTTACAATATAATTTAGAATTACGTAGACTATAAAGTTTAATAGCTACAACAGATGCCACTTAATGTGATGGCAGTTAATGTTGTTATCATTCAGATTTTGGTATAGAATTGCAGAAGTCCTATCCGTTTGTATATGAAGACATGGAAAATACATCACTACATAGTATAAAACAAAGTCGCTTTCTCTGTCCCTATATCCCTATGTATGCTTAAATCTTTAAAAGTACGCAACGGATTTTGATGCGGTTTTTTTTAATAGATAGAGTGATTGAAGAGGAAGGTTTATATGTATAATAACATTCCATTAAATAGTGGAGAAGTACTGTTATTTTTGAGGTTTCTAATGTGATGTCGTAAATTTCTAATGTGATGTCGTACATTTTTTCCGCTTACATTGCAAACTCAGGCTGAACCCTACGAGATTTATTCTTATCTAACCTTATGTACTTATAATTACTATAAGTGCGATTTAAAAATTCATCTACCTTAGAATAGAATATCATTTATATTTTAAAACTACTATCCATACAATTATTTATCATAACTTACTTAATAACTGATACGTTGTCGTTATTATGAAGTAAATAACTGATACGTTGTCGCGCTGAAAAACACGTATTTATTAAGTATATTGTTGTTTTCCTCGCTAGAGAGCTCCGATAATAAACACGTCCGATCGCTGCAAAATTCAAAGTGCTATAGGGAGAACCGCGGCCTCCGACGCGCTATTTATAGGCACGCTCCCGCCGCCCCGGCCGGCCGGTACCGCCGCAAACGCTACGTCCCGCAATTTTTAAATCTGTAGACCTTTTCAGTGTGTACAATACTTAGTACATTATTTTGATAAATCTCGTAGGGTTCACCCTGCGTTTGCAATGTAAGCGGAAAAAATGTAATTATTTACAACTTCACATTAGAGTGAGTGAGTGAGTGAGAGATTATGGCGCAAAAACCAAAGATGATTATAGCGCGCCAAACACGAGATGGGATGATTACAATTGATGGCATTAAAATTCAATAAATAAAAAAGTAGACAAATGTACCAAATCCAGAGGATGAAGTCATATAAAAACAAATTAAAAGCACATATTAAAATTCAAGACACAGTCTTCAAAACAAATTACATTTGGTAATAAAAGCCAGTCTCTTTCAAATAATAAAACAAACCACAATTGAGCTCTCTTCCGATTAAACGGTCGAGAGGCAAGTCACAACTATTAAAATATTTCTGGCGAAGCCTATTAAAACATGGACACTCAATTAAAATATGACGAACAGATAACAAACATTACAGTTAAAACAAACAGCTCATTTTCAGCTTTTAAAAGGTAGCTATGTGTCACTCTAGTGTGACCAATTCTGAGGCGAGTCAAAAGAACTTCCTCCTTACGATTTTTGGTTAATTCCCAGTGCTCAATTCTAGGTTTTACATGTCTTAATTTATTTTGAAGTTGAACATCCCAAAGTTGCTGCCATTTTTTTTTTCGGATCTTCTGTTTCACAACACAACAGATGTCTGCGAAAGGGATGAGACGACTGGACAGTTCAACAGAACATTTTGCTGTGATATCTGCCAGCTCATTCCCTTTTATTCCCACGTGCCCGGGAACCCAGCAGTACAAGATTTCATATCCACGATTCATTAAGTTTATAGGTAATTTGAGAATATCCACTATTACTGGATTTTGAGTATTAAGGAAAAGCTTCTAATAATTAAGAGCACTATACGAATCTGTATAAACTATAAACTTTTTGTAGCAGAGCCTTGAGATGTACAAAAGACTATAATATATCGCAGTTAGTTCGGATGTTAAGACAGAGAAAGCATGGTGCAAGCGTCTGCCCTCCATGAGGTCTTCAATTACAAATGCCATCCCGACATGATCTTTTGACTTGGATCCATCTGTATAAACTGGAAGATAACTGCTATATTTGTCCCTGTGCTCAGCGAAGAGTTGTCTGTAAATCATCTCGTTAGTGCTTGCCTTCACATTATTCTTAAAAACATCAAGAAGCTGAATCCGTGCATTTTCCCAAGGTGGGACGACATCACATTAGAAACCTCAAAAAAAAAAAAAATAACAGTATTTCTCCACTATTTAATGGATGTTATTATACATATAAACCTTCCTCTTCAATCACTCTATCTATTAAAAAAACCGCATCAAAATCCGTTGCGTAGTTTTAAAGATTTAAGCATACATAGGGATATAGGGACAGAGAAAGCGGCTTTGTTTTATACTATGTAGTGATAAAGTAGTTAAGCTTTTATCAAACACAACATAATACTACAGTTACGAAGATATTTAATGTTATACAGTTAGCTAATTTAATAAATTTCAGTTTTTCACCAAAGCAATGAAGTATTTTGATAATTATGTATATCTTTATACATGAATTTTTATTGCTGTTTTAAGCAATTCAACAACTGTGCAAGTTATTTTAATAATCTTGGAATATATACACTAAAAGAAACATTAAAATGCATTTGTCAACCTTGATTTGGGCATAAAAGTCTGCAGAATGCTTCGTAGTTTTTAAGCACACAGAGGCACTGCAATTCTTTCTAATTCCTTGATCTGAAGTTTTCTGGAAGTGTTTTTTTATTAAAATTGCTGTATTGGCACACATACATTTTTTTTGTATATTGACTTCAGATCTGGATACGTTTTTAGAACAATCTCATTTGTTTTACTGGCGTCGCTGAATTTTGCGATAAATGCATCACATTTATTGCTGAGTATAACCTTCCAGATTTTTTTTATACTGTTAATGCATGCATACATCAGCAGTGAATTATTCTCCTTTTTCCTCAAATACACTGCTCTGATAAACAATAACCATTCACTAAATATTTTGCGTAAATTTCCACTCATAATAATTTAAACTGCGAAAATCTCCCATTTAGCACTTAAACACACTATTCAGCACCACAATTCTTCCGAAAGAGCGGCATAATAGTGAAAAGTTTTCGACCCTCGTATTACTCAAAAACTATTAGATCTACAAACTTGTAATTTTGGATTTCTAAGATGTTTGTTACTATCTTTTTAAAAGTACAAAATTTTATGTGGTCTGTCACACTTTCTTTAAATATGTTTAGTCAGCCAAATTCCGAACAGACAGAAAAAAAAACAGCGAGACTCTGGCCATGTGTATCTTAAGTCCCAAATGAATTATGTTTCTTCTACGCGGGACTGGACGTTGAAAGAGACGATTCTCAGAACACGCACATTTCCAGGAAACTGACGTAGCTAGGTTACCATTTTCACTTACTACAAAGACTTGAATGCCAAACAATAATCGATTATCGCTCAGATTGTGATCACGTGATACTTCAGAAGCAGAGCTTTCGTCTGAATGGTTGATCTGTATGAGGGACAGAGCTTCAGCCGAAACGTTTTCGATGAGGTGTTAAAAAATCCCGCGTAGCCGCGACATCGTTTCCCTAGCTAGTAGATGCTCCAGCCGGAGATCTTTTTTCTAGGAATCCTCCCGTTTAAGCCAGTGCTACCAGAATCTCGTTTCTCAGAAAAGTTCCGTCTAGCACGGACTGTAGTCAAGTGTGATAACCTCTTAACTCTCTTAACTGGTTTCTTTCAACTGTATTTTTGAGATTCTTCAAAACTCTATCAGGCGTTCAGTCGCTTAGCAAAGTAAATCAGTTCCTGGCAAGCTTCCAACAAGATCTCTCCATGAACTCTAAAAGAAATATCTGAAATCGTAATGAGGTTTCTGAAATCGTAATGAGTAAATTCTCTCAGTAAAGTGAATCAGTTCTTAGAATCAATTCCAGAGCGAAATGTTCAACTTAGTACTTTCTTCAGCTGCAGAAATTGTGAATTTCACAGTTATTTTTAGCATTATAAAAATAACAATATATTTTACTTTTTATTTTTGACAGTGCTTAAAAACCATCCTTTTTTTATAACAAAAATTTTTACTTTGTACAGAAATCAAGGAACCTTATTTTGTGAACCCCAAATGGAACATATCCGAAATGATATTGCCACCAAACTCTGTGTTTACACTTGAATGTTTTGTGAATGGCACTCCGCAGCCGAAAGTAACCTGGTACAGAAATGGAGAACTCTTTACCGAAAATGCAACAGGAGGAAAATTTGAGGATAATTATCAGAAACTTCTTATCGGAAGACTGATGAAAGAGGACAGTGGAGAATATGAATGCCGAGCTGAGAATATCGCTGGAGAAATAATGCAAAAGACTATGCTAATAGTGGAAGGTAATCTATATTTAAGCATTATTTTTTTCATTTTTCATTTTAATAGATGAGATGTAACAGAAGTAATGTAATAGACAGATAAAGACAACAGGTAGAGAGAACTATAGATAATAGAAATATAAACAGACATTAAGATATAGTGGTAGCAGTAGTATAGAAGTGCAGTAGATAATGTAGTAGTATATAGCGTAGTAGTAAATAGTAGTGTATAGTAGAGACTAATACAGTATAGTAGTAAATAGTAGTGTATAGTAGAGACTAATACAGTATAGTAGTAAATAGTAGATAACAGAAGAGTGTAGTAGTGTATAGTAGTATAGTAGACAGTAAAAAGTAGAGTAGTTTAGAGAGTAGTATAGTATAGCAGCATATAGTAGATAGTAGACAGTAGTAGATACTAGATAGTAGGTATAGTAAATATAGTTTGTAGATATAGTAGATATACGTAGTAAATATAAATTAATAAATATATGGATAGTAGCTATAGCTATAATAGAGGTATCGATAGTATACATAGGTATAATAGAGATACAGGTAGTAGATATAGATTAAATACTAGATAGCAAAGATATGTACTGTAGAAATATAGACAGAAGTATAGATATTAGGTACAGATAGCAGATATAGAGAGATACAGATAAGAGACATAATGTAATAGAGATGTATAAGATACATAATATACAAGAGAAATATAGATAATAGGGATAAACTAGAGAGGTATAGATAGTAGTATAGTGCATAGTATATAATATAGTAATACATACATAAGTATATAGTGCTATAGAAGTAGATACAGTAGATAGTAGTGTATTACAGATATAGATATAATGCACGTATAAATAGTAGATAGTAGATATAAAGAGGTACAAATGTACTGGTGTATAATAGATATAGAGAGATATAGTAGATATATAGCGATATAGATAATATATAAGGTATTTTCTCCTATATCCTTTCAGCATGCCTTCGGGGTGTAATTGGAAGCACTCTCGACAAGTGCTCGGGAGGTTCGGAATTCGTATCGCGGCGAAGGCATTGCACATTTTTCCCGTACTTGCATCGATATAACGTAATAATTGTAAAGGGGCACCGAACTTAAAAGTTGGTTGACGATAATTCATCGACATCAGGATTTGTCGATGGTCTCCCCTCAACCTTTGTAGCCTTTAAAAGGGGGAGCATTTGAGGTATTTTCTCTCTCCTTTCTGCGTGCTTCTTGGTGGCATAACTAGTAGCACGCTTGGCGTATTCAGAAGGTCAGGTGTTCGAATACCGGCGAGGGTACTGTACCTTTTTAGCGTTCCTGCATTGATATAACTTTAGTCCCGAATGGGACATTAGTTTTGCAATGGCATTTTGCGTTGAATCCGTCTAAAAGACGTATCACTTTTCAAATTTTTGCCATCAAATATTATCGCTCTTTATTATATTTCAAAAAATTAAATAATGAAGAATCTGCGTGAATGTATGCATATTTCTCTCATTGTGAAGAAACAACTACATCTAGAGCCCTAACTGAATAACGTGGTCCTCTACCTGAAAATGGGAACCTAAAAGCCTGAATTTTAAGTTTCGAATTTGTTTTATCTATTTCATATTTTATAAACCTTTATCGAATTTTGGATTAATAAACTCAACGATTTCAAATAAAACATTGGTGGACAAGGTACGGAATAAAACACTTTTATCTCCAGAGCCCGAGATTGTCTATCGGAAATTCTAAAGATATGCTCCTTCTAAATATTTTGTGATTTTTGTGTTGAATCTAATTTTATGTGGGGAAAGCGACAAAAACATGATATTTAATAAATAAAGTTAACAAAACTTTAATAACAAAAAGACAAAAAAAAGTTTTGTAAAACCATCTTAGTAAGAAAACTGAACATTGATATGATGAACTGAGAAAAAACTGGAAAATATATATGTATGCCAAAACTGAGTGCCATATTGGAAATTCTAAACTATTATGCTACTCTTAAACTATTATGCTGGTCTTAAAATTTTTGGAGTTTTGCTGTTGAATAGTGTATGGCGTAAGTAAGCAGAAACTAATGCCTAGCAATAAAGCCAGAAAAAAAAATCTGATGTGTACACAACATGACTTCCTTGTACGGCATCTTAAATTATACGCATTTTTTCTTGCATTTCATTTAAACTTATTGGATTGAATTAAATCTACTTCGCCGACAGCGCATAAACCACAGTAGAATAAAATGCATTCTTTAAAATTCACTCTAGTATTTGTTTACCATAGCGACACTCTGGCGCTAGATTCACTTAACAGTATTATATTTCGTTCATATTATAACTCAGAATGCACAAAATTTATATCATTAAAAGAATAGAATTATCTAATCGTTGCCACATGTTCTATTCAAATACTATAATAAAGCTAGAATGATGTATAAAAGAAATTAAGCAAACAAAACAAAAAAGAAACCGTTTTTCACAGACGATTGAGTATTTCTCATTCAATTAATTCAGTTCGAGAAGGCAAAAATACATAAAAACTCAAAATATCTATATTAAAAATTACGAAGTAAATCTTAAACACTTATTTCCTCGAAAAAATTCCTGAAAGGCTTAGGCATGATTTAACTGGCAATAATAAATGTAGGCGTTATCTTTGTTGTTGCGAAGCTAAGATTCTCTAGATTGGCAACAAATCCACTAGTCTGCTGTTTCAAATGTAAACAATCAATGACCGCCATGAAAAAAAAAAAAAAGGCTTAGCGGCACTTAAACAACTTTAAAATTGTTGATAATTCTAAAATATTTCATACAGATTTACTAATGGCATAAAAACCTTAACCGGAAGATAAAAACAACATAATTCAATCATTTTAAAGTAAAAAATGTACAATTTACAAACATATAAGAGTAAAGAAACTGAGATCACTGAGCCGGGTAACAGAGTGGATATATATATAGATATATTTCTATACGTTTGGTGCGGCCGATTGCAACCAAAATACGAGGTGCACATCTACATGTTATAGCAGTCCTATATACAAAATTTCAACGTTCTGAGGCTACTCGTTTTTGAGTTATGCGAGATACGTACGTACGTACGTTCGTACAGACACCACGAAAAATTCTCTTCAGAATTCATTTTAAAGCAGTTTTATAATTTTTTTGGAGGAAACGAGTCTTTTATTCTGTTCTTACGTACAGATATCACGCAAAAACATCGTTAAATAGCATTCGATAGCGGTCAAAATGGATATTTTCATTGAACTAGTCTGCCTGAAACTTTTCGCGATTACAATACTTTCTTTTTACTTCGTACAAGGAAGTAAAAAGGTTAGTGAGCGTGGTTGTAACAGCAGATTGATAAAATGCGAGCTCTTTTGAGCAATCATTAAAATCTGAAACCCTTCAGATTTTATATTTATTTAAGGGTATTCACAATTTTAAGTAAAATTAATTTATTTTACTACATTTATATTTTGCTTTAATATTAAGATGATTGAAATGGCAACAGTAAAATTTGCTTGATAATTAAAAGATTTTGTCTTACTTTCTAAAGTTAATATTTTTAGGAATAACTCGCCAATGATTTTTAATAGCAATTGGTAACTGTTGACTTATTTCTAACAGCTGTTAGAAATGACTCATTCTACACTGAAAAGGAACTTTTCAAGGTTACACTATGCGAAAGGGAATTTTTTCCACGCTCTAGGAGCTTTTTTCGTCGAACATCTTTACCAGAAGACACAGGAAACGGAAACTCTTATCGGGGTTCTAACGAAAATAATCATCAACAGTATGAGTTTCACATATTTTCGCCTCAGAGCTATCATATCATAAAATTGCATAGACTTGGAGTGACTAACAAAACCGTCGCCAGCTTGGCAGAATGTCGTTAATATAGCGAGATAGGCATCTCTTTAATGTTAAATAGACTTGCCCCCTGTAATCTTATTTTTCCGGCACAGCTTTGTCTCCTTCAATCTTCCGTGTTGCATTATACAAAGAAGTAATATTACATAACATTATTAAAACATTTCACGAAAATTATTTATGTAAATACCAAATCCGTAACAATATGTGTAACGTGATTAATTTTAAATACTGAGTGAAGGTCGGGGAAAAATATTTCACTTTGTATCAGTCCAAAGGAGCTTTGTCCCTGTAGGACTATTGTTTTCGTTTTGCGATTTTGCGTTGGTTCACTATAAATGTGCGTTTCACTTTTCAAATTGTTGCCACCAAATGTTAGAGTCCTGCATTATATTTGAAGAAATTAAATAATGAAAAATCTGCATAGATGTATGTATATTTTTTGCGTGTGATAAAACAACGTTACCATCGAATTTTGAATGACGTAATCGTACTGCGAAGATGGGTATGTGGAAGCCCAATTTTGAAATTTGGAATTTTTTTTATGATCGATTTCATATTTTGTAAAACGTTAACGAATTTTTGATTAACAAACTCAAGGATTTCAAAGCGAGCCATGACAATGTTGTACAGTAAAACATTTTTATCTCCGGTACGCGAGACTCTGTATCGGAAATTCTAAAGGATATGCTCAATTTAAAACTATTTTGCGATATTGCTCTTCAACTGAATTTTAAGTGCGAAGAACGTGATATTTAATAAATAAAGGTAACAAACAGAATGTTAAATAGGCTATAATTTAAAGTCTGAAACCTTTCAGATTTACTTTTCTTTTTTTTTTTTTTTTTTTTTTTTTTTCTTGGAACTTTTTTTAATTTCATTTTTTCACTCAGTTTAGCAAATATTTTTGTGTGCATTATCAATCAATTCTATTAGCGGTCTTCATAAATGGAAAATATGAATAGAAAGAGGTGGTATATTGAGAGTAGCCAAGTTCTTGACTGCAGCATTGTCGAAAATCTTACCAGAAGAAACATTAAACTCTTTAATTAAGTAAAATCCTCTTAAATTAATTTAAAATGTAATTTATATACGACAACAAATGGCTTTTCAGATTCATACTTTCTGAAAAAGATGAATTAATGAATTAATGAACC